ATGACAGAGGCATCTGCGCAGGCGGAAGATTTGGAGGAGGAGGAGGAGGAGGAACTACCTCGATATGGTCAGCGTCCTCGCCAATGCTCATGAGCGCATGAATTAGGCGGGCATGTGGGTCAACCTGTGTCCAGCAGCTCCCAGGATAACACGGTGTCTCCTGATGAGTGGGGTGTTGGGCTTATTATTAAAGATGGAGGTGGTGGGGGGAGCATGGCATGAGTCCTCAGCCATCCCCATGTCTGGTGACCAGCTGCTGAGTGATTTCAGCTTCAGGTATTCCAGGATGAACTCCTTCCGTGCGTACTTCACTTGCTGTTGCTTTAGCTTGTTCCAACGGTAGTCGTGCGTGGCCCAGCTGTTGTCGGTGATGATGCGGGGCTTGAGCTGTAGGAGGAGGGGACGGAGAATGTTGGTGAACCAGGGGGCATTGGGGAGGAAGTGGCCTGTTTGCGGACCTTGTCCAAGTCAGCATACACGCTCTGCGTGATCGCGTTAGTATCGTTGGTGACCGTTGGGGGAGGGAGCCGAGGAGGAGGAGGAGGAGCAGGAGGAGCAGGAGTGAGCTGAGGATGTAGGCGGATGGCCTCAACCGACAACGCCCTCATTTTGGCCAGAATTGTTACATAATCCACGTGGTACTTGGATCCCAAGGCGTTCCATGTGGTCAGCTTCGTCCACAGATCATCCTCCGCGGCAAAGGGCGAGGCTGAGGAGGAGGAGGAGGAGGAGGAGGATGATGAGGTAACCGCGACGATCGAGCGAACGCACCCGATCCATAATGGGCTTGATCATCTGCATGGCAAGGGGCATGTGCTTGTTGTACTCGTTGGGCTTGATCTCCTATAGGAATTGAAAGGGTCGGGCCCATAGGGATGGGGGGTGGGATCACTGAAGTCCTGCATCATCGAACAGCCAACGGAGGTCACCTCATCCCAAAAGGGGTTCGCCTTGAGGAAGTCCTTGGCCGTCTTGATGGAATCAACCAGGGGCTGCATCTCATCCTTGCTCAGGGCCCTCGCCTGGAGGGATGGGCCCACATCGGAGGAGCGCCGCTAGAGGGACATAATTGCTCAACACAGGTCAACATACTGTTGACCTATGTTGGCATGCTGCCCTCTTGTTGGGATGGGTCCAAGATTCAGGGTCAACATAGGTCAACACGATGGACCTAAGGTTGACCTGTCGTCCTCTTGTATGCCCTAGCTGCAAGGTCAGCACAGGTCAGTATGTTGACCTATGTTGACCTCTTGTTGGGATGTGCCTATTGGGCTTCACGGTCGGCATAGGTCAGCATAATGTTGACCTATGGTGACCTGCTGTCCTGGGTCCACGCTTCAGTGTCACCATAGCGGTCAACATAGGTCAACACGATGTTGACCTATTGGTGGGATGGGCCCACGCTTCAAGGTCAACATTGGTCAACATGATGTTGACCTATGTTGACCGTTGTTTTTATCTGCTCGTCGCTCGAGCGAATGAGGGGGATGAGGAGGCGGATGAGCCTAGGAGGATCAGGCTGCAGGATGTGCCCGTCCGCGTCTCACACTCACGTTGAAACTGCAAGAGGAAGGTCAACAAGGGTCAACATTAGGTTGACCCATGCTGACCTCCCGCTTGTCGCTATAGGCGAGGCGGAGGAACGGACGGAGGAGAAGGAGACGGAGGAGGAGCCTATATTGGCTCTGTTCCCCGACCAGGGTCGAATATGCAAGGGGGTCAAAATATGTCAACATGACATGTTGACCTCTGTTGTCCTCCGCTCGTCGCCCAGTCAGCGTTCGAAGCTCGAGTCGCAACTATGCCCTCGGCTCCCTTGAGAGCCTTCGAGAACGCGTCCGTAATCTTGCAAGCCTCCGCGAGCCTGACTACAGAGCCCCCCCCCAACACCTCCCTAGAAATGTCCAGGGAGAGGGGGGGGGGGTGTGGATGTGATAATGGAACGTCTTGGCCGCAGCTTTGGGCTCGACCTCCTCGATCTCCTGCTTGGGCTGCTTGGACCTCTTCTTGGGCTGCGCAACCTCCGCGTGCTTCGCCCTCTTGCCTGGAGCCTGGACGCTGCAGCTGCGATCCTCGACCCTCATCCTCCTCATGCTCATGTTTGCTCCTCCGCCTCCTCATCTTCCTTGTCATCTCCTCCTTATCCATCTCCTATGGCCTTGGTCTTGGCTGGGGTATCGTCAGCCACGTCGGGTGCTGGTGCAGGAGGAGCGGCAGCAATTGCAGGAGGAGCGCCCGTTGACTTCGGCACTGCCTGCCAGACAGGATGAGTGGTGAGGAGGAGGAGGGACGAGGAGGAACGGAGGAAGCTATGCCTGGCTCGCCCTGCCCTCAGTGATCTCCCTCTCGCGGAGCATCCACCGCTCCTTGAACACTTCTTCGAAGCCCCTCTGAACGTACAAATATTCCATGCGTCCAGTCATAGCATTGCGAGCGTACCTGGAACCCGAAGCCAATACTAATGCGGACGGGGAGGAGGAGGAGGGGGAGGAGGAGGAACAGGAGGAGGAGGAGGAGGAGGAGGAGGAGGAGGAGGAGGAGGAGGATGAAGGTTACCATCCCAACTTCACAGCGTTGTGGCAGTAGTTCTTGGCGCCCTCTATCACCCGCCTCGAGTGGTGGCCGCCCTCCTGCAATGGCCATGACGCGATCTCATCTCTCCTCCCTTCTCCCCCTCCTCCACCTCGTAGTTATTCCTCTTCCTCCTCCTTCTCATCCTCGGCCTCGTCCTTGTCCTCATCCTCCTCAGCATCAATCCCCATCCGCCCACAGTCCTCTTTGATGATCGCGTCGATGTTCAGCATCCGCCCCCAGGTTTTCTTCGACTTGTCGTGCTGTGTCGCGTGCTCGCGTACCGCCTGCAGGATAATCTGCATACATCCCATAGGGATCTGGGTACGAGGGTGGGGTATTACATGGGGTGGTGTCCCCTTTAAGCTGATTTCGGATGGGGGGGCCTTGTACGTGTCGTACTTGCGCTTGATCCAATTCTTCTTGCGCTCGGCCTTGTCAGCGTCACTCATGGCCTGGAACTCCAGCTTCGGGATTTCCCTATAGAGCGCCATGCCGAGCTTGCTTTTCATCGGGAACTGCCAGCCGTTGGCGGCCGCCTGCTCCAGCATCTCATCCCTGCAAGAGTCGTCAGCAGCAGCGATCGGTGCTAGAGCGTCCGCAGGAACGCAAGGGGCGATGTTCTTCTCCGCCAGCCTCGCCTCAAAGTCATCTATGCTCTGGATGCCTTGAAGGGTAGGTTGCCACATGCATGCCTGCATGTTGCGATTTACCTCCATTGATTCCCTTTCCTCCCCCTCGCATCCCCCTTCTCCGATAGTGGAGATTTCCCACGATGCCTTGCGACTCATGTGGTGCTGGAGGTGGCCCCATCGACGCTGGCGTGGCACCACGGCGCGGTGCAGCGTGAGCAGGCTGCTGGACCCCGAAGCCCTTATGAGGTTAATTGTGTACTATATATGCCAGCAAGGGTTGAGCGTTTGGGTGGTTGAATTTGTCGCCCCTCAAACCGACGGAAACGTCACGTTCCCCGTGTACCAGCTGCAGCCGCCATCATCACCATCATGCTCGCACGGCTGTTGCTGCTGCTGTGGGTGCTGCATGTCTGACCGTTGGCCAGCGCAGGGGGGGGGGAGAGAACACACGCTCAACCCTTGCAGCCAATATAGCTGCATACGGACCCCAAACAGTGCGTTGCATGTGCGGGTTCCAGGCCTCTCCAGATGAGGTCCGAGTAGATGGGGTCGAGGATCGCGCCGCATCGCCGATGCATCGACGATGCGGCTCGATGTGGAGCCCGCGTTTCCCACGCGGACGTTGCCGATGTACCGACGCCGCCGCCGATGCATCGCCGATGCATCGCCGATGCGTCGGCGATGCATCGGCGATGCGGCGCGATCCCCCGATCGACACTATCTACTCGGACCTCTTATCTATAGCCTCTACTGGTGCACTGTGGTACAACTTACACGGTTGAGCAATCAAATGATGCAAGATACCTTTTGCATGGTTGCACGTTCATCCTGGATCTGAGAGGGTCCGAGGAGCAAGGATGCAAGGACCGCTCATTTTTTTTCAGGCTAGCCCGTGCGATCCACCGATTGTCGAACATCTGCTTGCCTGCCTCACTCGTCGTCGTCTGGCAGCATGATCGGGGACATCTCGTGCACGGGGCCCGTTGCCGCCGCCGATGTTCTTGATGGCGCAGCACCTGGAGGAGCAGGGGGAGAATGAGAAGCATGCAGTAGGATCCTACTGCATGCTTCTCCCCGACATCCTCGAGCCATCTTCCCCATCCTCTGACATCCGACATCCCCTGACATCCGCTGACACCCTCCTCGAGGAGCTCCTCGAGGATGGTGTCAGAGGACTGCAATCCCAGATGATAATGTCCCCCTTCAACCTTCATCATCGATCTTCGCCTTCTTCGGCGGCGGCGTGCTCGGGTCGTTGTCCACGGGCGAGGGTCTGGCGTCCCATGGCTGGGTCCCCGCGGAGTCGACATCCTCATCCCACTCGGACGCACCCTTTTCGAGGTTGAGGTTCATACATACCCAGCTCTTGGAAAACCGATATTCCTGTGGACCTGCGGCCCACGGGCATCGGTTCCCCAGGCGGTGGATATGCATGTTCCCCAGCCTTCTCCGTCGACGTGTCCTTCGTCACTGCCTTCTCCTTCGACTCCTTCTTCTCCTCCGTCTTCTCCTCCTTCGCCTTCGCCTTCGATTTCCCCTTGGATTTGCCCTTGGCCTTGGCCGCCGCCATCTGGGTGCCGAGCGTCTCCTTCTTGTGATTCTCGATCTGCTCCTTCGTCCAGCCTTGGGGGGGGGGGGGGGCAGGTCACCTCTCCGCAAACTGCCTCCTCGCACCTCCTCGCCCTCTTCCCTTTGCTCTTCTTCATTTCCCTGGCCATCCTCGGGGTCAAATTTGGCGCGGGGGGGGGGCTGAGAACGATATGATTTCAACGTTAGAGCCGTCAGCAAGATAACGATTGCCGATCATGATGATGTACCGCTTCGCGGCGTCGAAGTCCCCGCCAAACCACTTGACCTGCACCTGCGTCACTGTGGGCGGCTTTTTTTTTGTGTCCAACAGCTTGATGAAGTCATGACCACGCTCATTGCACCGCACGCCCTTGAGTCTCACCTCGTCGTCCTCCTGATGTGTCCACACGATACCAGCAGCGCCAGCCTTGACCGTCTTCACGTCGTTGCACAGCAGCTGCGGCACATCCTTCACCGTGTTGTCACTCCACCTGCTGGCCGATCCTCCCCATACCTTAAGTCCCCTCCTCGTCCTGTCCGCTGTCTCCTCCCCTCTCTCATCTCCTCCCGATCCTCCTCATCTCCGCTTTTCGTCACCTCCTCACCTCATCTCGTCCTCCTCCTCCTTTCCGCTCCTCATCTTTCCTCTCCCACCGATCATCCTCATCTCCTCCCTCCTCCTGGGTCCTCGGGAGGCCCCTCATCCCTTTCATATCTCACCACCTTGCTTTGGCTGAGTCCGACTGAGACGCGCCATCTGGCACGAAGATCACGCCATATTCTCGCTCCTGGTTCCCGTAGCGGCACACGCGATACGGAGCTTGCATCATGTTGCAGTAGCCGTATTCGAACTCATCCTCGGTTGGACAGGGGTGGCGAGGGAGCGGACGGGGGGATGAGGATGAGCAGGAGGTGGAGTTCCTCGTCGGCAGCGGGCGTTGCAGCTGGTCGTTTCATCTGATCTGGTGGTGCTGCAGCTGCTGGTCGTTTCATCTGATCTGAGGTTGCTGCAGCTGCTGATGGTCGTTTCTTATCTGCTGCAGCTGGCCGTTTGCGGATGGGCTCTTCAGGCTCCTCTTCGCTTTCCTCATCGTTCTTCTCCTCCTCTTCCTCCTCACCTTCGTTGTTCTGCTCGTCGTTCTCCTCCTCGGCCTCATCTGCTTCTACTTCTTCATCTCGCACGAACTCGTCTGGATTCTCTGGCTCCTCGGCCTCCTCGCCGTAGTTGTTGTCGTCGTCCTGTCGCGGATCTGCAAAAACGACCTACGCAGACCCCCCCTACGCAGACTTGTTTGAGGAGGGTCTGGGACCTCAAATTTGAGGTCCCAGACCCTCCCCAAACAACAATCGGTGTGCGGGATTTCGGGTTGGGTGGGGTTGGTTTGGAAGATTTCGAGGCGTGTCCAGACGTGGCGTCGATGGCCTTATTCTGCCTTCCCATCGCTCCTCTTCCTGCAGGATGTGGTTCGCCCATGCTCGTCCGCTCCTCTGTCTTCTCGTCAAGGTCTGGGCACGCGTGGGACGGGCTCCCTCGCTCTCTCTATGTCTGCATTGCTTTATCTGCCGTTATCTCTCTCTCTCTCTCTCTTCCTCTCTCTCTCTCTCTCTTTCTCTCTCTCTCTCTCTCTCACTCTTACCTCTACTATCTCTATCTCGATCCCTCCCTCCCGTCGCTCACTTCCGTCCTCACTCACTCTTTCAATCACTTCCTCACTCCATCACTTCCTCCCTCACTCCTTCCGCCCCTCTCCCCCTCCCCCTCCCTCCCTTCTCCCAGCGCGGCCCTCCTTGCAGGGTCCATCCCCCATCCATCTCTCTCATCACTCTCCCGCTCTATCCCTGCCCTCCCTCGGACTTGCCCCCCCAAAGCGGGCGCCCTGGCACAAGTATATGATCCTTCCAGACACCTGCTGCTCGAAGTCCCGTTGGCAACGGGCGTTCAACTAGAGGGAGGCACCATCAATCGTCGTCGTGCTGTGGAGGCCGATGCCAAGAAGCACCCTGCTTTCCTCCAGGTTGCCCTGGGTGTCTTGGGTTTCGATGGTTTTGCGATGGAGAGCGTGACGTTCCCACGCCAAAAATCCATGGGCGTCCTGGGGTCTCAGGGTTGGGTTTCTTGTGGTCGGGCCCCCACTGTATATCCGTCTCCACCCCCTCTCCCCTGAAAGGGAGAGGGGGACGAGGGGGGGATGTGCAGAGGGGTCTTTATATAAGATGGCCTTGTAGTCCATCTCTGTCGCGACGATCTTGAGCGCCGCTGCCATGGCGTCGGGGTTGAAGTAAAGCCTAGAGTCCACCTGTCGGCACGCCCAAGGGGGAGTGCAGATGGGGCAGGCCTTCTAAGAGGATGAGGGGTTCGCACTCCCGCCTTCTGAAACCCCTCAGGGCTCAGAAGGCGGGAGGGCGAAGCCCTTCTCAGAAGACTTGCCCCATCTGCACTCCCCCTTGGGCGCGCCGCCAAACCTGCTTCAGCGCCCTGAAGATGGGCGCGCTGGCCTGGCACGCTCTCTGCAGCTCCAGGGCGTTCGACTTGTCGAACTTCTGAGGGGGCGGGGGCGGGCGAGGGGAACGGATGGATGGGATCCTAGGGCCCTGTGATCCCATCCGTCTGTTCACAGGGATCACAGGAAGGAGGGCCACAGGAATGACAGGATCACCTAGGATCACAGGGAGGGAGGGTCAGAGGGAGGGAGGGAGGCAGTCACAGGGATCACAGGGAGGGTGGAGGGAGGGATGGGGGGGCGGGGTGACATTATACCCCATCGATCCTCGACGATCGGCGGACGACGTGCAGCGTCACATGATAATATTGCTGCAGAGATGGCGGCCACGTCTCTGTTCTGGGACGCTTTGGGCATGCTTGAGCCTATAAGGAGGATGGGGGAGGAGAGGGAGGGGGGTGGGAGGAGGTGGAATGAGGAGGTGCGTATGTGGCAAGCGCCGAGGCGAGAGGGCCATTCCGCCGCGGGGTGACGAAACGCGGATGCAATCATTTCAATCATGGGCGGGCCTAAAACGCAAAAGTGATTTTAGGCCGGGGGGCCTAAAACGCAAAAGTGATTTTAGGCCGGGGGGCCTAAAACGCAAAAGTGATTTTAGGCCGGGGGGCCTAAAACCAAAAATGCATTTTAGGCCCGGGGGGGCCTATGTTTTAGGCCCGTGCTCAAAATGCATCAGATTATGTTAACTTGAAATTATGGGCCCGGGGCCTATGATGTTCAAGGTTTTAGGTCCGGGTGAACAGGCGGGCGGAAGAATGGGACGGGGGGCCTATATTTTAGGTCCGGATACCCTCAGGGTCCTCCTCCTCCTCGTCCTCCTCCTCCTTCTTCCTCTTCGACCTCGCTGAGCTTCGCGCCCCACCTTCCGCCAGGCGCACGCCCTCGTCGTCGTCGGCCCCGGGCCCCCCCCCCCCTCCCCCTGATCCTCCTGCAACGGGGGCCGCGGGTGCAAACTGCATTCTGATGCCTGACTGAATCGTGTTCGGATCTTTCGGAGCCGCCCACCCGTCCGCCCTTCCACTTTGCCCCTCCAGCTCCTGCAGAGCGCGCTCTCCCGCCGCGCCTTCCGGATCTCCATCCTCGCTGCTCGCCCCTCTTCTCTTCTGGCACGCTGGCCCCAGCTCTTGAAGCCCACCCCCCTCACCCCCATGCCCTCCTACCCCTCCCTCCATCGATCCGCTGGGCTGCGGCGGGCGTCGCGGCGCCTCCAGCGGCCCAGGCGACGGCGCCCGGGTACTTGCCGATCGCCAGCTTGCAGTCGACGCTCATCCCCTCGCGGGACTCGAGCGAGGCAGAGGTCAGAACCTATCCATGTTGGAGTTTACAGACGGCGATCAGATGGGGAGAAAAAGTTAAACAGGACATGGCAGATAAGAGGTAAGAGGGGTCAGGGGAGTCAGGGTCCCAGGGCAGGGTGATAAGTCAGGCCCCCCGTTGATTGTCGTCAAACCAAAACACGCACCACCTGCCCGCCCTTGCCTGCCCGCGCCCGCCCCGCCCCTCCCCAAGTTGATGATGACGGCCGCGACTACCAGCGCGTGGCGTGCATCAGCTGGGTCGAGTCTGCGACGGTCACTGGGCAGCTTGTGCGCATAGATGAGGGCAGGGTGGTTTTCTCCGTCTCAAGTTGGACGGTCGGCGATGGCCATCGGCCGTGCGCCCCTCGACAGTTTAGAAATCCAATATTAGTGCACCCTGACTGTGGCGTCAGAATGATGAAGGTTCCGAAGGCTCGCGCTCCAGAACTTCCCAGTGATATGGTTGCTCTCTTGGCTAGGTGGGAGGCCCATCTCTCGCCGGACTCGCTCTTGCCTTGTCATTGGTGTGCTAACTTGGACTCGGGTACGCGCACGTGCCCTTTGTGTCTCTCCGCGTTTCATACAGAGTGTTGTGCGGCTGCGTTAGAATTCGTGCAGACCGCCGAGGCGCCTGCTGATTGGCCAGGGAAGTCGGCCAGCTTAAGGTTGCCTTTTCCCGTTGAGAGCGTGTGTCCCATGTGCGCCCACTGGGTCGGCATCTAGATAGCCGTCCCGTCGAGCGTCTACATCCTCTTTCTCTTCCTCATCATCATCATCATCATCATCATCATTCTCCTCCTCGTCCCGATGCCCCCTCCAACCCTCCTTGACCTTCTGGCCCGCTCGCCCTGACGAGTCTAGTTGCATGGAGTTTGCATGGAGCTTTGAGCTTGCGACGCGACGCCTGCCTGGCTGCCTGCCTCCGACATCCTCCCCCTCCATTCGTTCCCCCCTCGCCAAGCGGCAGCTGGCTGGCGCGCCTTGGCGGCGATCCCGCGGAGCGCGTTGGCCCAGAGCTCGCAGCCTGCGGGCGGCTGTGCTGCAGGCTGCAGAATCGAGATCAGGGTGCCCAAGCACCCAAGGGGAAAAAGGAACCAGGAACAGCATGGGGGACCCCTGCCATCTTCTCCTATCCTGGTCTGTCTCGGGCCCCGTCAGCCGAAGCGGGGGGCGCCCGGGGGCCCACTGCGCGAGTGCGCTCTTTCGTGTGGCAGCATGCCCACTGATCGCCCCCTCTCGCCCTCGCGCAAGGCCCCGGGGTCGGACAACTCAAGTCGGATGCGCCCCGGATCATCCCGAAATGGCGCTCCAAGCGCATCGAACTAAGTGAGCGGGCTGACCCGAACCCCTGGATCATCGCCGCAGGCAGCCTCAGGCCTCCAAGCAGAAACGTTCGGGTTGCACTCATGGGGGGGGGGGGGAGTAGGGGCCCTGTCCTACAGTCACACGCATTGCTTGTGCCGCTTGCGCCCCCCCCCACCCCCCGCCCCCCATTCCCCGCTTCGCCCTCCGCCCGCCAGCCCGCCCCGAGAGGCCCTGAGAGGCTCGGCCGCGCCACCTCCTTCCACGCCCCCCCCTTCACCCCCCTCCCTTGCCGCGAGGGCGGCGGGTGACCGAGAGGCGGATGAGGGAGTAGCAGGGCCACGAGACCAGGGGGCGCCCAAGGGGCCCTTCTCCCTCCGCCTGCACCTT